TGACTACAGTTTTAATCATGACTCATCTGTTTATGAACTGTGTGACTGTGGAGAAATTACTTGACCTTTCTGGCCTTTAGTTTCTTCATCTGCAAAATAGAACAGTGGGAATAATAGCACACCATATTGGTTTTGTGAAGAAACATACAAGATAATGTTCATGTCGAGTACCAAGTCACCAGTAAAATTCATCTTTCACTACCACCTTTCAAACTACAGTTATTTGACTATAGAATTATTTGCTGATGATTGAACTATTACCAGCTAATGTGATTTCTTTTTTGTCTTTTTTGATGGTAGATATCCCAGAGGAGGAAGCCAGATATTGGACCTACAAATTGGAGCAAATCAATGCCTTAGGAGCTGATAATGAGGTAGGAAATGCTTTATTTGAAATATGGAAAGATGGGGATGTTGTCAAGCATGTTGTCCTAAAGAATGAAGTAACTTAAATTGCAATAAAGAAAGAGAACAGCTAAAAGATAGCCTGAAATTTCATTAGAAAGCTCCATTTCCCGCTTTTCCTATTTCTTGCTGTCTAAAGGACAGTGGGACAAGTCTGACTCTAGACTGTTGAGGAGGGAGCTGGTACTAGGGAATCTGTCTTCTTTTGTTACATAAATGAGCAGAAGGTATTTCTTCTGTTCCCTTCCAGATTTTTGGATATTATCCTTATTTGTGTATTCTTTTTAGGGATGTTTAGACTATTGCATTCATTGTTTGATACTGCTTTCATAATTTATCTCCAGAGATGAGTCTGGTGTGTAGAAGAAAATATAATTCAATCTGGAGGCATTAGGAATGGAGAATTTTTTGTTTCTGGCAGTGCAAGGGAAAGATAATATATTTGTTTACTTTCGGACATGTTGGGCTATTAAAAATGAGTCTTATAAGAATTTGAGTGGCAGAAGATACTTCAGTGGAAATGTCTAGTGAATGGCTTCATGAGAAAATCTGGAGCTCAAGCTGTAGGCATGCAGTTTGGATTCATTAACCTGTGGGTAGCAACTGAAGTCAGCAGTAGAAAAACTAAACAAGGCAGAGCATGAAAGAGTATTAAAGAAGAACAAAACTTGGGAAATATCAAATATATGATCCTGGGAAAGAAAAGGAACTGAGTAAGAGGTGCCTAAAATTGAGAGAATAGGAAAGGTTCCTGGAACAAAGGAAACAAAATGAAAGTTATGGAACGAAGAAAAAAGATTCCTGATAATATCATGTGTTCAGAGAAAATGAATTCTGTAATAGAATTATAGAGTAATTGGATTTGGTGATTAACACCAACATTCATAGAAGCCAAAATGCTGTGGTTTGATGACTGTGTTAGTTTCCTAAGGCTGCCATAAAGTACCATAAACTGTGTGACCAAAAGCAACTGAATTTTATTCTTTCGCAGCTCTGAAGGCTTGAAGTCTGAAATCCAGTGGTTAGCAGGGTTAGTTCATCTCAGTCTGGAGGTTCAGAAGAGAAATCTTCTATCCCTCTCTCCTGTCTTTAATGGCAGTTCTTGCTGTTCCTTGGCTTTAGATGCATTCTTCTAATCTCAGCCTCTGTTATCACATGTCTCTCTGTGTCCCTCTGTGTGTTTTCAGTATATCTTGTATGTCTGTGTTCAGGTTTTCATTCTTCTTATAAGGATACCAGTCATTGGATTAATTCAATTGCATCTACATAGATTTTAATTCCAAATAAGGTCAAATTCACGGTACTTAGGGTCAGAACTTCAACATCTCTCTTGTGTGTGTGTGTGTGTGTTGCTAGGGATCAAACCAGGGCCTCATGCATGTTAGGCAAGAACTCTACCACTGAGCTGCATTTCCAGTGAAATAGTGAGTGAGTTAAATGAAAGGTGAAGAAGTGAAATTTGGGACAAGTGACAACTACACTTTGGTTTTTTGTACTGGGGATTGAATCTAGGGGCACTTTACCACTGAGCCCATCTCCAGACCAAAACTAATCCTATTTTTCTTTAACAGCTTTATTGAAATATAATTCATACAAATCATGTAGTTTACCCATTTAAAGCATGCAGTTTAATGGTTTTAAGAATATTCAGAGTTGTGCTTTTTTTGGTGGGGAAGTACTGGTTTTTGAACCCAGTGGGTCTTCACCATTGAGCCACATCCTTATCCCTTTTATTTTGAGACAGGATCTCACTATGTTGCTTAGGGCCTTGCTAAATTGCTGAGTCTGGTCTCAAATTTGCCTCAACCTCCCAAGTTACTGGGATTATAGCATACACCACCATGCCTGGCTGAATTTTGAACATTTTGATTACCCCATTAAAACAAACAAA